TTTTGAATGTAAAGTGTATCGTAAGAAGACACTTGCAGGTTTATATTTTTATTTTAATAACTAGATTCTGGAGCCGTTTAAAGTAAATCTGGCTAAAATATCAGTTCATCGTGCTTATAGAAAAACCAACACGTATGAATATTTTTATAAGGAATTAAATAATATTAAAATATTCCTAAATAAAAATGGTTTTCCAACTAATATCGTTGACAATATCATACATAATTATTTAGATACGGTTAATGGTATGAAACAAGTTAAAAGTTAATGTCCCAAAACAATAATATTACCAATATTAAATATGAAAATAAATCAATCGCGTTAGCTATTTGGAATAACATATCCGCAAGCTAATTTAATGATAGTTTGTAAATCTGAGAACATAATACTTTTTTTTTTCGGATATAAAAACAGAATTTCGTACCTAAGTAGGTTAAATTAACATATATATATATATTCAAATGTCCTAGAAATAATTCTAGGTGTATTGGTTCGACCACCAGGTGATTAAAAATACGCATAGAGGTACATGCAAATTTAGTGAACAATAATAAACGAACTATACGTTATCACTTGCTTCATAAATTACTGTATCTTTGAAATTATCGCTAGAGGACGTGACGAGAAAAGCTTACATATAAAAGAAACGTTGTTGATTAGCACAGATGTTCCCAAACTTTCTCTTCTCAAGATTCCCCCCCAAATTTTCTTCATCCTGACTGAGCCCCTCCCCCCCAACTGATGAGTTTATAGATATTGAGTACGGTATCTTAATATTGTGTACTTTATGTATTTGTTACATACCCCCAGACACTTTCCTGCGGCCCTCAGGGGAAACCCCTGGACTAACAAACGAAAACTCGAGCTAAACGAGATGAATTCAGCAACATGGTTATTAATAATGTTAGACTCCATGTTGATATATTTTAACTTCACTGTTCGTGCACGTTAATTTCACGTAAATTAACGTATTTAAACCAACCAGAGCTGAACGAGATGGATTCAGCAACAAGATTACTACTGTCTGATTTGTTTGTAATTATGCACAAAGCTACACAATGGGCTATCTGTGTTCTGCCCACTACGGGTATCGAAACCCGGTTTCTAGCGTTGTAAGTCCGCAGATATACCGCTGTGCTACTGGGGGAGGGCTACTGTCTGATCCAAGTATTACTTCTTTTTTTTTTTGGCTAAATTAAAGTTTATGTGCACCAGAATGGAAGTTACCAACGAAGCATCATCTCTTGGGAAGTATGGATAATCCTGCATAAATGGTTACTTTTCAGTCCTGTACCACGGTGCCTACAAGCCTAATCACACTCCAGTAGATCTAAATCTTAAATACGAATGTAGGGGATGAAGAGAAACAACAGTTTCTGAGCGCCCCAGGTTGTATCTCAAACCCCTTCGGGGCTTGTGAGATTTAAAAACCTAAATTACTGCCAAGTTCATTCATTCATCCCTCCCCCGGTGGGACAACGGAAAGTCTACGGAATTGCAACGCTAAAATCCGGGGTTCGATTCCTCGCGGTGTAGATAGCAGGTAGCCCAGTGTGGCTTTGCTCTAAAACTAACACACATGGTCATTTTTCAAATTATCCACATAGATATTTTTTAAATCAGTTTTAATATTTAGTTATTTACCTCCTAACTAACATTTATTCGAAATATTTTTTGTTTTTTTTTACCCATACCTCCATTAGGTCCTCGTTTTTCACCACCTTGTTGCATGTTATGTATCTGGTTTTCTCCAGAAGAAAGGGAATTAGTGTTCAACGTGTTATTATTCTGATCACTAGTATTTGTACTGTCTGAAGTGTCGCTTGTAGTATCATCAACTGTTGATACCCCTTGGGAATAGTCCTCCGGTGGGGGTTGTATTATACTTGTTGGTGTCCAATCTTGTTCGCATGCACTGTCTGGAGAGGGGACTCGGCTTATACCATTAGATTTTAAAGACGTCATGATTATGTTGTTCGTGTTGTCATGGAAATCGTTCAATTGACACTCAGTGTTGCCATGGAAATCGTTCACTTGACACTCAGTGTTGCCATGGAAATCGTTCACTTGACACTCAATGTTGCCATGGAAATCGTTCACTTGACACTCAATGTTGACACGTTTATTGTTTACTTGATGATGACAGTTAAAAGGTTTAGAATCTGGTGGAAGGTTCTGGTCTGATGACATACTATAAATACATGCATTCCTGAAAGAAGAGAAAAAGGTATAAGCTACAGACGATTAAAATCCAGATAAGAAATATTCACTTTCATGGGGAGAGTTAATAATTAAATGGCATCATTTACTTGATCAAAATTATTCCATTGAAATAATAATATAATTTTACCCTAAAGTATAAAGTGGATGCTTTTCAACAATACAGATCCAACCCCCAGCAAATCAGCGTCAGGCTTGATGACTTATAACACTCAAATTCACTTTCATGGGGAGAGTTAATAATTAAATGGCATCATTTACTTGATCAAAATTATTCCATTGAAATAATAATATAATTTTACCCTAAAGTATAAAGTGGATGCTTTTCAACAATACAGATCCAACCCCCAGCAAATCAGCGTCAGGCTTGATGACTTATAACACTCAAATTCAGTCCCTGTGGTGGGCACAGCGCAGTTAGCCCATTGTGCAGCTTTGCACTTTAACAAATATAACACATCATGTTGTAGGTGCTATTGTCGAACTTAGAGCAAACATTTTTTCAAGTACAAAATCTCAACTATAAAAGAAAAAATACTTCTATGTGACACGAACTTGTTTTTTACTGACAGCGTTAGAACTCAGAATTTGATCCCTGCCGTGAACACAGCGAAAATAGCTTATTGAGCAACTTTGCTCTAAACCTCAAGAATGCCCAATTGAAGGACGATTCAAAGAAATATGTACACAATTTTGTTTAAATAGTTTTAAGACACATTGCATTACTGTGAAAGTAATTAAAAAAAAATTGTTTCGCGTCTTGTATAAATGCCATGCGAGATTATTGTTCCATATAGAACGTGTTTGTTTGTTTCAGAGCAACAGGGTTATCTGCTGTGTCGACCGTGGGGATCGAACAAATAAAAATCCTGAGCGAAATTTAACGTCACTGGATTGCCCGTGAACGCAGACACACACACATGTAAGCCTGAGTGTGGTGTAATAACTGAAGCATGAAACATTCAGTGTATATTCGGTCACTGACCCAGAACATTTATTATACTTAATCACAGCCCCAGAAACGTTCATTATATACTCAATTAATCACGGCCCCAAAAACTTCACCATACACAGTCACGGCCCCAAAAACGTTCACCATACTCAGTCACGGCCTCAGTCAGAAACGTTCTCCATATATTCAATCAATCACGGCCCCCCGAAACGCTCTTTATATATATTCGGTCACGGTCTTGTATGTCGTCACATATCTTCATACGATACGAACGTCGACAACAAGGCTAGACAATAATTAAGCGTGTTCAATAGGACCCTTAGCACCGAGAGGGAAAAGGGGAGGAGCTAGCTGATGGGATTAAGTCACGCAAGAACTACGTGTGCAATTACAAACACACGTTATCGTTTTGTTCAACGATACAAGTTTTATATTTCAGTAAATATTTTTTTTTGGGGGGGAGGGTTAAGCAATGCAAATACATCTTGACAAAACGGCAGAAGAAAAAGTATTCGAGAGAAGCTACAAAGTGAAGTTAAAAAGAGAACATATTACAATACAAAAGAGAGAGAAACATAAAAGGTGTCCAGGATGCCCTTTTAGCTGTGAAGGTGTTATAACGGTGTTGCCTAGCTACCTTCTCTCTAGTCCATCATTTCTAAATTAGGAACGGCTAGTGCAGGTAGCCCTCGTAACAGAAAACTATCAACGTTTCACTTACATCAACGAAACAGAAAACTATCAACGTTTCACTTACATTAACGAAACAGAAAACTATCAACATTTCACTTACATCAACGAAACATAAGACTATCAACATTTCACTTACATCAACGAAATATAAAACCATCAACGTTTCAGTTACATCAACGAACCAGAAACTATCAACATTTCACTTACATCAACGAAACACAAGACTATCAACATTTCACTTACATCAACGAAACACAAAACTATCAACATTTCACTTACATCAACGAAACATAAGACTATCAACATTTCACTTACATCAACGAAATATAAAACTATCAAAGTTTCACTTACATCAACGAAACAGAAACTATCAACATTTCACTTACATCAACGAAACATAAGACTATCAACATTTCACTTACATCAACGAAATATAAAACTATCAACGTTTCACTTGCATCAACGTAATAGAAAACGGTAAACTTTTCGCTTGCATCAACATCAGTATTTCTTCTTTTTTTAATTTTAGGTTCTGATAAAACTGTAACTGCTTTCGGTTGTTATTTATGGAATCATAGCGGCCAGTCTAAACAGCTTCTATGATTTATTTACCAAAATAAGTAATGACGTCACTGGGAATTAGATTTCTAGGTCTAATATAATAAGTTTAAGTTTTTGCAGTTACTGAAGCATATGGATTGTAACGTTGCATAATATAGGGGTTTTCAGTGAAAAACTTCGAAAAACCATCCTTGTAGGCAATGTGTTATTTGTAATAAATAGTCTATTGAAAATAGAAATTTTTTTAAGAGAAAACAAAGAGGTATAATTCAATATACAATTCTCACGTCTCTGTTTCATAATGAAACTCTCTAATAGTTAGTACATGTATTTTATGTAAAGTAATAGTTTAAAAGCTAGCCCTTAGTTACCAAATAATAAATCAATAGATGGCGCTAAATGCTTAACAACAGTTTTGTTGGTTTCTTATGGTACGCCACTTAAAATATAGAACAGCTACGACATTTACAAAGCCAAGCTAACTGTCGATGCCCCCAAACCAACTTGTCCATAGTGGCTAGAAATAAGAGGTGATTAATAATATAGCCTTTGAAATCTATATTTTATCTCTCACAAGTCATAGCTAGAGCACTCCATTCGCAATCTGAGGGTTGCTAGTTCGAATCCCGTTACCCTTTCAGCCTTAGATGTGACGGTCAATACCATTATTCATTGGTTAAGATTAGCCCAAGAATTTGCGGTGGGTGGTGTTAATTAACTGCCTTCCCTCTGGTCTACCACTTCAAAATTAGGGATGGCTGGTGCAGACAGCCCTCGAATAGCAACCACTAAAATACAAATAAAAAATAAACACTTAAAATATTCATCCACGACTTTTCATTCAATTAAACAAACACTTCGTGTTATGAACTAACGCAATGTTCTATTTTATCATAACTTTCGTTTCAGTTATGTTGTCTAACACAATACTAGCATTCACACTAACTCACGTGCGTGAAACATCATACAATTTACTAATTTTCATTTTCGATCCTCGTAATTCACGATACGAAAATGATGTCAATTTTATCGATTCACGCAGTAAGACACGAATAAATGACTTGTCTATTCACTTTTTAATTTTTGTGAAGAAGACATCAAGTCAAAGGTATCCGTTTTTGTTCCTGAAATCAAGATCTCATGTTGGCCTAATAAGCCGTGAGTCTTGTTTGGTTTGTTTTGAATTTCGCGCAAAGCTACAGCTGGGCTATTTGCGCTAGCCGTCCTTAATTTAGCAGTAAAAGACTAGAGGGAAGGCAGCTAGACATCACCACCCACCGCCAACTCTTGGGCTACTCTTTTACCAACGAATAGTGGGATTGAGCGTCTCCTTATAACGCCCCCATAGCTGAAAGGGCAAGCATGTTTGGTGGGACAGGGATTCGGACCCGCGACCCTCAGAATGCGAGTCAAGCGTCCTAACCATTTGACCATGCCGGACCGTAGCTGTTAGTCAGTAGCAGTCCAGTACACGATCCATAGAAAGGTTCACGTCAGATTGAAGAAACATATTAGCTAATGAAAGAGGTTACGAGTGTAAAATTATAACACTAGCTTCGGCAGGTTTTACAAGCACTGCATTTAATATCCGGCTAATACAAATCAGACGAAGCAGAAACGTCATGATCTAAGTTTTTTATTATTATTAGTTGTTACAGAAATCTTGTTTGAATAATTATATATTTCAATCTAAAGTAATGATCAGAAATAAAATAAAGGTATTTTTTGTTGTCTGACATTGTGGCGCCACGAAAACATCTTCGATCATGTATCATGCAAAGCCGTAAAATGTTTTGTTGTTGTTGTTCTTTTTTTTTTTCCTTATCGTTTAAAGCACGTTCTTAAATCTTCATTTAACATGAGGTATAGATCAGATCACTGTGGATACAAGTTCAGACATGTAAACCTGTTCAAGGAAGAAGGATATTTTTATCATTCAATGCATAACTTGTTTTTCTTATCCTAGAAAAAAAAAAATGTTCCTGTCAGTCAACATCAAACGCGTCTACTTCACAATGTAAATAATTTTAGATGTTATTGGTGATGAGTAAAGGATTTTATATCAATAAACCCTGCAAATGTGAGTTTCGTTTACTGATAACTACTCAGTTGAATACAAAGGGAGTGGGAATAGGGGGTGGAACGATAATAAGTGTGTGAAATTTATTTTTAAAATAACGTAAAATGCAGATGTCTTCCCTTCTATTCTTCTTAACTTGTCCATTTCGGATTCAAAATCAGAGGAGTGTAAAAATATAATTTCAGATCTACCTTTCGTTTACTAAGTCACTTGTCCATAAGGACTTTTGTTCAGTATAAGAACCCATCAGTTTGGCTGAACGATGAGAGAAAAAAAAGTTTTTCCCTTCGTCATTTCATTTAAGTCCAAGGGGCTGACTGTCCATCGTGTGATAAAACAGACGATTGATAATATGTAATAGACATATAAATATGTAAATTGAAGAAGACTGGTGTGTGTGTGTGTATGTGAAATTTTGGGTTGAAAAGGAAGTTAATTTGTCTTCAACGATAAACATTGTTTGTTTGTAGTTAAGTGCAAAGCTACACAATGGGCTATCTGTACTCTGCCCACCACGGGTATCGAAATTCGGTTTCTAGCGCTGTAAGTCTAAAGACATACCACACTGTGCCACTGGGGGAACACGATAAAAACCAATCTAAACGTAGAAAGAAAAGGAATAATTCAGCTATCTTGATAAATATAAGAAGGTAAATTCGGGGTTGGGATATCTAAATGATTGGAATGTGACATAACATACAAG